AAACACATCGTGATATGAAATAATTTGTATTACATAGTAATTTCATCCCTGGCCACAGGGTTAACGTTGGACAAAGTCTGGAAACTTTTTTCCAATTTGAATTACATACATTAACTTTGCCACACACCACAGCACTAATGCATGTATTACTTCAGACATGCTCTAATTTAAAATCCAAACAAAAAAGTTGTTGCAAAAATACATGTCACCAATGTGGAACACATTCAAGATTGTATAAAAAGTACTGAACTGATATCCCAAAACAGGTATATTAAGCAGTACATAAGGAAAGATTAGTTTTAATATGAAACAGTCATTTAAGTCACATACAACATGATAAGAAGCATGACTTCCTTTTTTTAAAATGTTACACCAATACTTTTACTGCCAGGCAATGTTTATATATAAAATGAAGGGGAACTACTTAATGCAGATGTGTTATTGTATTAAGTTGGAATAAAGACAAATGTTAAAAGGGTGCTACATTTGAACACCATTGATTTTGTAAAAATCTCCAACCATAAAAAGCATGTCACTTGCAAATACCATAGGCCCCAAACTGCAAACACTTTGAAACATTCTTGACTCTGTGCATGCAGTTCTACTGACTTCATTAATTCTCACATGCTTGAAGTTCAGCCTGAAAAAATGTGATTATAAAACTCGTTCTTAGATTAAAAACTTTAGAGGTCACAAAGTATATTTTTCTTTGAGCAGCCCCCAAAATTATATTTTTGTTAACCTGCTTGTCTCAAGTTGTAGAAGGGATCAGTAAAAAAAGCCAGAAACAGAATTTTTGATATGTGCCTATATGCAGCACTGTCATTTACCCTAACACAAATAAAACAAGTATTTTAAAGAGCAAATTACATACTTTCTCATGTAAAAGTGGTCTCTGGCAAAAAAACCTAAGTATTAAGGACAGTTCAATCCATTTGTTTCATGACAATTTGACAGTTCAATTCTATTTGTTTCAGCCTAGGGGGAAAAAAAAAAAAAAAAAAAACCCACGCAACATTTTGGGCATTATAGGCTGCATTTCTGACCATGCTAAGGAAATACTCTTAAAGGACACAAGTATTTCCCACAAGAATGTTAAGGTTTGTAAGATTTACAAAATCTTTTCAATTATTTTGGGTGTGCAGCACCAGTGCAGTCTAAATCACTAGTAATGAAAGTAGTACATGATAGTTTGATACAAATTGTTTCATGTAGAGTACTACAAAAAAATCACACCTATTCTAATTAACCCTCACTCCCTCCCACCCTTCTATAACTAATTTCTAATGCTAATCAGCTGACATTTTCCTAGTACTTTACTAACAAAACATGATTGTTCCTTTTCCTGCGCATACTTGAACTACTACTAGTCAACACATGCAGAGAAATACACAGTATAACCCTCCGTCTAGCTAAAGAGTCCAGGTATGCCAAGAGTCTATCAGTAGGGCAAGCATATTGGCTGGATGACTTTTGAAGATCCTGATCACTGTGATAGTAAGTTTGGGAGGTTTTTTTGTTGTTATTTTATATAATTGGCATTTGCTAATGCCTTGACTTTGTAGGGCAATAAACGCAGAAAATTTACTGGGTTACAAACCCAGCGTAGTACCAGTTTAGAAAAACTGAAATAAATTGCTAGAATAAGTTTCACAAACACACAATTTAAGGCCTTATAAAAATTATACTCCAATTGATTTTAGGTTCAGAAGAACACTATTTCAATTATAATGTCTTGCTAGCTAATATAGGAAACATTTGCCTAACTTCTTGTAGGGCTGAAGAAGAGATTAAGAAATACATAGATATCTTAAACACAATGTCTGCTCAAAAATGTTAAAACATTAATTAGATTTCTAAGAACAAACGTCCCAAACATTTTCTCACAACAGCAATGGGGTGTGGGAGTGGGAAAGGTATTATGAACAGCACGCTTGAGTAACACTAGTATCATTGGAGCTTTGGTTGAATTTTCACCAAGCCAAATTTTTTCTTTCATTTACATTGCTGTCGGTCTGAACAAGCTCCACTACCTTCACAGTGCAAATTGTTGCAGAGATTAAACTGTTTCTCAAAGGAACAAATCTATCTAAACAAGGTTTGGCTTAATTTATACTTTAGATACCAAAACCTAATTCTAACAGTCATTAAGAAAACTCCCAAAGAACAAATATCTCTAACAAGAGATTGTTGCTTGGTTGTGGTTTTGTTTGGTTTGTTTGGTTGGTTTTTTTGTTATTTGTCTTTAAACAGCACAACTCTAACAAAACAAGATTAAGTTTAGCCTCTGTATTAAATAAAGAAAATTGTGATGAAAACAGAAGCACTGGATCTGCCTTACACTTTCTTCACATCTCCATGCAAGAAATCCTCAAGATATGAATGTGTCATTTACACTTTAGATGTTATTTCCTGATGAGAGGCAAGGCAAAAAAGGAGAGCAATACTGCACTTCTCCAGTAAAAGCATTGAAATGCTGGGGTTTGAACACCGAGCCCTGAATTAAGGTTGACATATGGGTGATTCCCACAGCCCTTCATAAAGAGGTGGTGAGTTTGCCTTATAGCTTCCCCCCAGGGTGCGGCCGGCCCTGCAGGGAGAGCCAGAAGGGAAATGAGCCCCAGGGGTCCCGCATTGAGTTGACAAAGGTCAGGTGTCTGCTTGGGGATAAAAGCTGGGACCACCTGCAGGAAGGGAGGAGTGTCTGTCTGTGGAGTGCACTCCACAGAGAGGCCTGGGTCAGGAAAGACCTCCTAACTCTACCTGGAGCTGGGCCCCAGTCCATTTAGACCTTTGCGAACGTGGGCCGAACGGGTGAGAGTCGCCATGTGGGCACCTTTTTCTTCCATGTTTAACTTGCGGTCTGGCTGTTTCCCATGCCAACTATGGGAAACCTCAGGTCTCTGTTCATACCACCTGTTGTGGGCCGAGTTGTGTCATTTGTGGGATCGTTGGGGGTAGCGCCAATTATGTACCAGCTGATTGATCTGTTTGTACCCCCAGGGATTATTCATGGAATGGCCTTTTTGCTTATGATACAGTCTGTGTATTGGTTCATCTTCCTGCTGGCTGTATCATTTTTGTTGGGCCTGGTCATTGGCAGAACAAGCATACATAAAACTTTTCTCTTTTAAAATAAAACAAGGACAGTTATATAGATCTGCACAGTATCTTCCAGAGAAGTACCACAGAAAAGCTCACTTAAAATGAAACACAATGGTGAACTAGCAAACAGGCTAACAGGCTTTTCACTCATGAGGAAAGTTTACCATGAAAACTCTTTTTATACATATTGACTATATTGTATATAAGTTCCTACACCTCTCACCACCACAGATCTAAGCAACATGTTGCATTAAGGAATGTGTCTAGTAACGGTAACATCTGGCATATGATTTAATTGCTGGCTGTTTAAAAACCACAAGTTTCCAGCACAGTGGTATTACAAGCAGAGCCTGTCATTACACCATCACCTTCTATTAAGTTAAAACAACACTTCTCTCTACAGAAACACTCATTTTCAGTTGCATATGCAACTCTCTTGTATTGCTAGGGCTGAAGTCTTCAAGGCTAGATGTTTTCCCACATTAAAAAAGGGAGGGTTATTTTTGAGATCAAAGATAAAATCAAATTACCCATATTAAAACAGAATTCTTAGTATCACTGTACTGGTTGTGGCTGAGCTGATTTTCCCCTTGCAGCCCTCCTGGTGCAGTGCTTTGTGTTAGGAGTTAGACAGGTGTCGGTAACACCCATGTTGTGACTACCACCGAGCGGTGCTCCCACAGCCCCGAGGCCCTTTGGAACATTCCCCCCACAAGGGGGGGGGGGGGGCAGGAGCTTGGGGGGAACATAACCAGGACAGCTGACCCCAACTGACCAAAGGGATATTCCATACCATATGACAACAGCTTATCTATAAAGCTGGTACAAAGGAGGAGGGGGAGAAAGGGGGAATCTACTCCTGGGTCCTCCAGAGCAACCGCGACACGTTTTGGAGCCCTGCTTCCCAGGAAGGGACCAGACATTGCCTGTTGATGCGAAGTAGAGAATCAATCCTTGGGTTTTTCTCCCCTTCACTTCCACACACAGCCTTGATTGGTTTTTCTTTTCTAACTAAACTGCCTTTGTTTTTACCCACAAGGGTTTTGTCTCCTTCCTCCTTTTGCTCTGTGGAGGATGGAGAGGAAAGGGGGAGGGTGATAGAGTGGCTTGGTGGGCATCACTTGTTCAGACAGGGTTGACCCACCACAATCACATACAAAGCTCTAGTGCCATTCACACTTGTCAGTAGGATATCATGTTTAGCAAAGAAGCTAAACTGATTACTTGCTCCTTATGTGAGCTAAACTCACCTGATGTGACAGCTGTATTTTTCCTCACCCTAGATTTCCCACCCCCACACTGCAAGACTGGCTAAGACAGTGGTGGGAATTCAGTTTTAAGACTTTGCTGGCCAAATCATCTTGCAATTCAGAGCCTGTGCTAAGCACACTCCATTGCCTTGCACCTTCCTTCATGCCAAGTGGACTGTGAGGATGACCAAGTAGGCTGTAGTTGAAAGCCCTAGAAGATGGGAGGGACTTTCACTGGTCTCAGGCAGCCGTGAGACAGGAGACCAGAACCACTGATGAGAAAGAATGAGAGAGAGGTGCATAACTGCTCAACCATGACAGATGCAGAGACTGTATCCTAATCTATCTGCCTAAGATAAATGAATTAAGGTTACCTATGCAACTCTAGTTTTGGTATTCTCTATATTTAAAGCACTGGACTCGATAAACGTCATGTGTTGTTCTTCCAGCGTAACTGTATTTTATAACTATCTCCAAATACTGCAAGACCTAGCAAGAGTCTTCAGCAAGTAAGTATTTGCTGAGAAGTCAAAAGAGATCATTGCCTTTTCAAGAAAATATAAATGTGTAAAAACTTAGTGGGTTTCATTGTGTTACGGAGATGAAGTCATCAATTTTTGAACAGCGTGTTAAAAAGCACATATGAAATTCTCTGTGTTTACCCTAAAATAAAAGCTACTAGTACTGCACATTCCTCCATGTCATCTTCACTATATTCAAAGAAAGGACAGCAAGAATAGCAGTAATGGACATTCACTGCTCAATAAATGAAATGTAACGAGTACTTGCAAATACAGTACCATTAAAACTGAGCACTAAATGCTAGTGTTAGTTAACACATCAACACTAGCAAATTAGGGGTTATTCATACAGGCACATTCTTGCCTTCAACAGAATTGTCGATGCACATCATACTTCTGACCAGTTGTCAGTTAGGCTCTACAGTTCAATCAGAAAGAAAAAATATTCCATCCTGTAAAACATTTGCACACATAAAACTAAGAGTACAAAAGCTGGGAAGGAAATTTATGAATGAAAACAGACTAGGAAAAAAGAAGACAGCAATTAAACAACCGATTGTCTGCAGAAAGTGAAGTACCCAATTTGTGACCAAACCTTCATAGCAAGTGTTTCAGCCAGTACCACCAATTCCCATTGTTAGCCATCTGTATTCAACGCAGATGGTGCTGCAGTCTCTCTTGTACGCATTAGCTGGACATCTTTGTCAGCCATGCAAGTATCACAACCCCATACTGCTGACGCTTCTGCTGTAAGAAGGCCATAAGCTGACTCAGTCATGCCTGTACAGATCCGATGAAACCATTTTTGACAAGAGGCTTCACAGAGGATGGCATCCTGGTCGTCGTTAACTTCATGCGTACAAATTCCACACGGATAGACAGGTTCTGAGGATGAGTGGCCATGACGACTGGGATGAAGGGGTGTTTTGCTGCTCTTTTCAGAGTTGCATCCTTCAGCAGTACCTCGAGGCTGGCGGGACTTGCTCTGAGTCCCATTTGAATGACCAGCATTAGTGTTATCAGCACTATTAGAATGGCTATTATCCTGATTTACCACATTGTTTCGAACAACATTTTTTGAGTCACTGTTACCTTGACTCACAATGTCCTCTGTCCTGTGATGATGCTGATGAGCAGCAGTATTCTGGCTGGATGCTTTGCTTGCACCTTGAATAAAGTCTTGTTTTTGTACCGATGATTTTGTCTGGTTGTATGTGTTTGGTGGAGGAACAAAAGAATGGTTTGACTCTAGCTGAGAATTTGGGAAATTTGGATTGTTTCCAGGACCAAAGTTAGACGGCATGTCAGGGTGAGGCATCTGACCAGAATGGCTAAAGTTCTCACCAGGATTTGGTCTGAAATGCTGATTGGGCATACTGACATTCTGATTTATCTGACCACTACTATAAGGCGTTTGATTCCCAAAACCTGGGTTATCATGTGGACCAAAGCTGAAAGAGTGGGGTCGACTAAAAGCCATTCCCACAGGGTTTTGAGGAAGCGGATGTGGTTGGTTTCTGAGGGAGTAAGAACCACCATATGGTGAGGACACTCTGGGCAGCATGTGAGGTGGCATTCTGAAAGTGTTATAGCCTCCAAAGCCAGGATAACCAGGATTACTAAAATATGGATTTCCTGAAGAAAGTGGTTTATAAGAGACAGTATTATAGTTGTCATCAAATGGATTTGCAGCTACAAGGTGGTCAGAGCTTGGATTCAGCGGTGGAGCATACTCAGATGGAGGAGGAAAGGATGATCCCTAAAAACATTTTAAATACAATATTTAAATTAGTTTTAGTATTTCCCTGCAAGACAGACCAACCACAAGCGTCTTAGATAGCAGCACTACTGCTAAAAGAACTGTTCAGCTGTGCTGTAAAGCTCATTCACTGTACCCTGCCAGGTTGTCTGAAATTTCAGTACAGAGACAAGAGACGAATCTGGGCTCCAGATAACATGGTGATTTATAGTAATTGCAGTGTTTTAAAAATTGCGCAGTTGCAAAACCATGCTTCTGAAAATACTACTTGATATGTGACTATCTCTCAATCTTTTACATAAGAAAAACTACAATACAGAAAGCCATGTCACTTAAACACATGCACAAAATATTTCCAAATGTTGAAGAGCAGTTTTGAAACATTTCCTTAATTTTATTTTGAGTTCATTTTACTGAATATACATCTCTTAAGACACCCCACTTCTATGAGGCTATACAAGCCTAATGTTACCATAACTCTAAAAAAGCTATATTGAGTATAGGAGTCTGCATATAGGAATTTTCTATATTCTGTGTACCAAACAGAAGTGTCCCTTATGAGTATTTAGTTATTGTGGGCAGTCTGCAAAGCACAGTCAGCAGGTAAAAAGCACAAGGATTTCTTGTTACAGAGCATAATCAAGTGTTTAATGGAGCCCAGAAGCTGTCTACATGTCATCAATGTGGCTATACTACTGAATTTCATTCTACACTAGCCTGTGGGGAATATCTAGCTGGTTCACTCTCACACTAACTATGCTCACAGAAAGCATTTCCTCCTAAATACTAATAAACTAAGACTAAACATTTTTTTAAAAAAATAAATAATTCTGCTGTGCTACAAATTTTGAACCTGGTAAGAAAAGAGACAAAGCTAATCTACATGTGCTCTAGTTATTCACCAATCTAGACCACAAGGAAAGCTCCACCAAGAAAGAGGTCTGAAATGCCTAAGTTAACTGAGTATTTCTCAGAGTAGTTTTCACCATGACTACTTTAAAACAAAATAAAACTTAAGAAAACAGATCCACATCTCAATGGAATTTGGATGGGTCTAACAGAAAGTGATTGTTTGACCTATGGGAATAAACTCACTCTCACTAGGCAAGAGCAAATTATCAGATATTCTTACTCAAAGCTGAGTGAACACAGAAAGGAAAATCCTGCACTACAGATAGCTAATTGCTAAAATACCAGATTGCAGGGATTCACTGGCAAGAAGCTGAACCTGCCTCAGCGTTTTCTTGAAAATCACTTGAGGAATATGCCAAGAGTTTGGGGAAAGCATTAACAAAACTCACTGATCCATTAGCCCACAAACCTACACATGCAGGATTAAAAGTAAGAAGAAACAGTCTCATGGCAGCTACTCATGCCGTACAGATCTCTACCAATGGCTACAAAGTCATTAAAAGAAAGTCTGTCTCAGAATGAAATCCATATGGTAAAATACAAGTTGTTGCAGTATCACTGTGCTCCTTTCTTTATAGGTCTTTGGCAAGCTACAGAGATGAAAATAACTTCAGTGAGAATAACTAGTATTGTGAAGATTTTAACTTCAGAGTACAACTGAAATATTTTGTATTAGCTGCACAGTTCAACTGCTATTTGTGAGAATAGACAAGCTATTCTAAACAATGTTGGATAGTCATACCAGCAAACAACATTTGAGTACACTACTTATTAAGAAATCAAAAGAACCAAAGGAATTTTACCTGTGTATTTCCTTTGCGTTTTTTCTTATCAGGGCTTCCCAGTTGTACTCCTGGTCCTCCTAACCCATCCAATCCACCGTCACCACCTACAAAATTTCAATCAGTGCAACACTGCATTAGTTTTCTTACAGATGGTATTTTAAGTTTGCGTCCGTCTGCCATGGCCACAGATATGTTACAGATACAAGCTTGGATTAATTTTGGTGCCTTATGTTCCAAGTCCTTAAGGAGCAAACATCTGGAGGTAAAAGCCTACGTCATATACAGCTATCTTACTCAATTACCACTTAAATGGCTAAGTGCTCATTGCAGTTGGAATAAACATTTCCATTTATTTTATGTTTATCTGTCCCTTGGTTCTTAACATCTCCATTTCACCAGCTAGAAGTATTTCTTGTTTGCATAATGCATAAAACTTTCAAAAGCTTAAAACCATCCCTAAGATTCACCTCCTGTTTAACTTAAGACAGCATATATCAAACTCACTGCACCACTACACAATGGTACATTACACCACAAAGGAAAAATCAAATGGTAGTAGATCCATGAACGAAAACCTCTGTAAACCTGCCATGTTGTTTAGATAGCTCTCCAGCTTATCAGACCTAAATTTCACTGAATGCAAGACTTGATCAAACAAAAAGAGAACCACCAAAAATGAGAGGGGTTTTAAGTGAACCTGCCCTACTCTGCAGAAACCTCCTAATATAACTGCACGCAGGTGCTCTGGAAACAAAAAGAAGTAAAGAATGTTCATTTTATTGATCACTCAGTCAGGCTTGACTGACTTGTGGCTGTCATTGTTAAAACTCTAGTTAGACCATAGACAAAAAAATTAATAAATAAATTCTAGCACACTCCTGATTATCCCAGTTGGCCTGCCTTCCTGGGGCTCAAGTGGATTTGCAAAGAAAAAAAATATGGGAATGCAAAGAAAATCCTGAGCTGAAGTATGAAAATCACTTTTGGGCGATATGAAAGCAGCAAATGTTGGGATACTAACACCATTACATTAAGAAACTGGATGTTAATTCATTTTTTTTCCCAGACTCATTAAGGTAATAGCTTATTCGCTCTTTTAAAAATAAATATTATTTGCCTAAAACTCACACTCATAATACAAATCAAACTCTATCAAGATGCAAGCATGCAGCTGAACAGACAGGTTTATTACCAAAGGTAACCTGAAGATAACTGTGAATTATCAATAATATTATGAAAAGAAGCATAACATACAACATTACATCACTCTGCGTTAGAAAAGTATTCTCAGTAGACAGCTAAACCAGCTTTAGGACTACTCAGTAAAGTAACACAAAATATTTGCTAACAGGGAAGAAGTAGACCAACCATACAGAGACTGAAATATCCAACAGTTACTGCAAATACTCCTGATCAAAGGAGGTGTGACAAATTTTCACTCCTAGCAGTTTATTCCTTTCTCACTCCCTCATTTTGGAGATTTCAGGGAGTTTACCAGTTCTACCTCTAGTAAGAATTTAGTTCTGCCTCTGCTTTAATAAGTTCATTTTGGCTTTGGCTGTCACTGCTGAAATTTAATTTCATTCTTCGCTATACATTAGGAAGATACTTGGACAACCCAAATAGACACCTATCAAATTTTAAGTGTGAATTTGAAAGACTAGGGCATGAAGTCACAACCATGTTCTCAAAATACACTCATGCTTGAGCACAGCATGTCATAGTATAACCCACCATCAGAGTAACTACAGACTACTCCCTTAAAAAAAAAAAGAGTCCTTTTGGCCTTGATTTAAGAACAAAAACTCCTGCATAGACATACTGTGCTATGAAGCGTGGCCACTGCATTAACGGCAGATACGGAATAATCACGTCACAAAGTTTCCCATAAAGAATGATGACAAATCTCCCTCAAATTCCAACTCTAAGTCATCTTGTTGATAAACTTATTTACTCAAAACTGTCCCTGTGCTTTCCATTAGCTTTGTCTCCACCACTCCCATAGATTCACCATAAAATCGTTGGGAGATTGTTCTGTGAACCGTTCCTCAAAACTGCCTAAAATACACTCCTGTTCATGGTCCTGGACTCTTAACACACAAATGACGTCAACCACTGATAGCAAAACATTGCAAACATCCAGATTTCTTTTATAAATTCAGCAACTAGCAGCACAGATATTAGTAAACCCATGATCGAGTACACTACTGAGGATCATATGCAAGTGCTGTTTTACAGTAGCACAAATTAAAATTTTGTAAAATCATGTATAAGTTCCCTTTCTGAGATATCACTCTTCAATAACATAAGCATCTGAACACTAGAATGCCAGTGATAAGTTCCACCAGTTTCTACATGGGTTACTGACACAGGTGATGCCAATCAGATGCCTAGGTTTGCAGAAATGAGTCCTATGTCTGGAAAGGTACAAAAGTTTTGTGGTTTCAGTTCTCGTTGTGTGAGGCCAATGACTTAATTCAGCCTTATATTTTCCCTGTGGATTTTATAATGATTTAATTTATACCTGAAAAGAAACAGAATGTTAGTCCTAGCATACCTTGAAAAAAAAAAAAAAGAGTGAATAAGGGTCATTTTTATGCAGCCAAAATAAACTTTCCAGAAAGTCACTTCTGGTACCTACCACACAGACTTTCATTAAAAGGTGGACTGAGCATTTTGGAACATTGCGCTAAGACTTCCAAAAATTATTTCATTGTCCAACACTAATTTTCCAGGAAAAAATACAATACTTTTGACTGAGACATCATATATGTATTTATACCTCTAGATGCATTCCATATCTGCTTACTATTCCCTTCTTTAAAAAATTGATCAAATGTATTTCAGCCACTTAGGAAAAGAGGAGCTATACCCTGTATTCTTCTTTACTTCATACACATGCAAGATAGCCATTTTCAGTGTTAGTCAGGAGAACTACAACTTGTAATTTTGTTTACATGTTAAGAGATTATGACTTTGCATATAATTTATGCTATACTTAACATACTGCAAATAAACTATGGAGTATTTTCATATTCACTGAGAAATCTCTGTCTAGGCTTTTGTAGGCTGGATAACAGAGTCTTTTTAAACAGTTTTTTATCCCAGTAAAAATGTTTTCCCAAGGAACATACGTGGCCAAATAAACTTTTTATTATAGAGAAACTAACGAGAGTCTAATTTCAGCCAGATTCAGTGAGCCTATTCTGTGGCCCTGATACTGTAAACAGTTTTGATATTAAATGGTAATGCATGGAACTCCGTGGGTAACTCAGGCATGTGAAGCTGTACATGCTTAAATATTTGCAGAATTGGGGTTTGAGAGTGAAGGAGTCTAATGAAACCCAGTCTCCTTTTGTAACTGGTACATGCTTTCATTCTCTGGTTCTCAAGGTTGCAATCCAGCTGCTATTAGAACAGTTTTAGGAAAGCAAACTGTGAATCAATAATAGGCATAGCAGAATCCACACCTTTCCCCACTTACCCAACCACTGAAAAAGCTTAAAACATCAAGAACAATGGAATTCCAGGAGCAAAGCAGAAGGCAAGTAAGAGAAAAGCCACGAATTACAGATCTTATCATTTTACCATGATTTTCACCCAACTCAGTGATCCAACTATCTTTCATTATCTCATTCAGAAATGCATTTCTGGTTTTAAGTCCTGTAAGGACACAACTGCAGCTAAGGAGAATGGTGTGCTACAGCCATTTAAGTCAATGGCGCAGCCGAAGTCAGGAGAGATGCCCTACCCCTTCCATGTCTCAGAGAAATGCATACTTCAAACCTCACTGGAGCCATACAACAGCGCGATCAATAAAGAACAGTATTTCGATACATTTTTCACTTCCCAAAAGGAGAAGAATAAAATCCCAAGTAGAAGCGAGTGGAAAAACAAGATCATGAATAGAAGAGCTAACGCTCCAGTGTAATTTACGGTCTCTGCATCAACACTAACTCGGACATGTGGCACTGTCGACGTATTCCCTTGCACCAGCAGTATGCACGCTGCATACTAATTGGCAGCACACCCAGAAAAACGCGAGAGACACGACCGCGCACCCGCACGCC